CCTGGCACTGATTACATAATTAGGTGAGGTTTACTGAGTAAACTGAGGAGCCCCTAGAGCTGTGCAGTGTACACCCTGCCCAAGTGTGTGTGAAGCCTTGCGTCACCTGACCTTTACTCTTGCCCCTGAGTAGCTGTCTGACCTGAGCTGCCCCCCACCCCCGCCCCGGGAACCTGAGCCTCAGTCTCCCTCTGTGTGTCCTGAGGAACTTGGCAATAATCTCTACTGGCTCACCCAGTTCTGCTGTTTCAGAGCAAGGACTTGTAAACTGAGTTCTGTGATTTGCTCTGGAGATCCATAAAATTTCTTAATTTTGTGTAGGAAATTATGAGAGAAAGAGAACACAAGAACTTTCTTTCTTTCTTTTTTCTATTCTTTTTTTTTTGAGACCAAGTCTCAAGAGTGCCATGGCGCACAGCTCACGCTCAAACTCCTGGGCTTAAGCAATTCTCTTGCCTCAACCTCTTGAGTAGCTGGGACTACAGGTGCCCGCTACAACACCCCGCTATTTTTTGGTTGTAGTTGTCATTGTTGTTTAGCAGGCCTGGGCTGGATTCGAACCTGCCAGCTCTGGTGTATGTGGCCAGTGCCCTAGCCGCTGAGCTACAGGTGCCGAGCCAGAACACAAGCACTTTCATCAGATTTTCAGAGGGGTTCACGAGCCCAGAAAGGCTACAAAACCCGGCTTTATGGACCCTCAGCAGGGGAGGCAGTAGAGGGAGTCAGACAGCAGGTGGCGTGCGTGTGCCCGTTCTCTCATTTTTCCCAACGTGAGCCTGTGAGCCTCAGAGGTCTGGGGTTACCCTCCTCATTTTACAGATGGAGAAACTGAGGCCCACAGTCACAGACTCATACCCAGCTCCACTGAGGCCAGTGCTCCAGCCCCATCCAAGCTGCCACCTGGCAGAGGCACTCGTGGGTTCGCAGGCTGGCAGCAGCTATCCAGCTGGGCTGCCCTTGCAGCATGCTGGGATGGTCCACTCAGTGGCTCTTCCTGGCAGGTACAACCCCATACACCCCCCATGTGGAGATGGTCACTTACCTGAAGAGAAGGTTCGGGAGATGTTTTCCAGGTTAGAGTTCAAGATTTCATTGTGCCCACAGGGCCTGAGTTGGATATGTGAGCAGCCCCAGGGGTCAGACTCTTTCTCTCAGTCTCTTGCTGTATCACCTTGCCCTCCATGCTGGCTGGAGGTCCTGTAGCTCTGCCCTAGCTCACCTCAGAACTGTGGTGCCCAGCCTTGCTCTGCCAGTCTCTTCCCACCAGGAGTTTCACCATTTTCTTGGATCAGGCCCTTTCCCTGAAGGAGTCCAGATGAAGCCAGGGCCACAGCGTTACATTTTCTGGCTGGAGTTTGTCTGCTTGGTAAATGATCAAGACTGTGGGATGCAACATGATCACCAATCCATGCCCTTAAATGTCCTTTATTCTCGGATTCTGAGAGGTCGTGTTTCAAGTGCAGCTGCTCCTGGGGTGGGGGAGGGAGAGAACTACCCAGAGGGGCAGAGACATAGGCAGGCAGAAAGACAGACAAAGAGAGGTCAAGGGTCTACAATAGTTCACAACTGCTTCACTCTTGGGTTTGATGGGAAAATAAGAATCAGAGCGGAAAGTCCCCTTAGGATGAGAAAGCAGGGTTCAGAGATGGCTGAGATTTACTGACCAGGGTCAATGAGCTTGCTATTGAAAACAGAAACAGCATTTCCTTAACTTGGCTAAATATCTACCCACCTGCCTTTATTCCTGTTTACTTTATTTACTTGGTGAATCATTCCTTGTTTTTGATTAGTGCATAAGCACATTGAGCCAGGGCCCCTGTGTTTGGACAAATCACTTAGAAAGTGTTGCCACACATGAGCAGAACATGTGACAAAATTGCATAGACTTTAACACACACACACAGGGACATGAGTACAAGTAAAACTTGAGAAACTATTCACAGTAGGACGGGCAGATTGTATCAGTATCAATATCCTAGTTGTGATAGTGTCTTGAAAGATGTTACCATTGCAGAAACCTAGGTGCAGGGTACATGGAATATCTCTGTATTATTTCTTACAACTGCATATGGATCTATAATTATCCATAAATAAAAAGTTTCATTTAAAAAAAAAAAGTGTTGCCAAATCTCTTTCCAGAATTCAGACTCTAGTGTGTTTTGCAAATGAACAAGTCTGGGGTCTCTGCTGGTGGTAAGGCACCCTTTCCTGGGTGTTGAAAGAGTAGGTCAAGGAAGACATCTCGAAGGTCCCTGACATTTGTGGAGTACCAACTATGTGCCAGGGATCACCTGTCATCTTCACAACAGTCTACAAGGTACACACTGATAACTCCTTAGAGACAAGGAAGCAGAAGGTGATATGCTTCACCCACGAGTAAGGAAGATCAGTTTCACATTCCAGGCCCTGTGCCCAAGGCCAAAGCGAAGACCAGCTCCAAAGCTCATCTTCTACCCATCAAACCCCACTGTCCTCCCACCCAGCCTGTCTTTGTGTCTTAGCAGGGCTGCTCAAACATTGATGTGCCCAAGAATCACCTGGGGACCTGGCTAATGCAGATTCTGGTTTTAAGGTTCTATATTTCTGAAGAGCTCCCAGATACTACTGAGGCCACCACACTTTGAGCAGTACGGTCCCTTAGATCTCCCACCCAGAATCAAAGATAGCCAGCATTAATTTTTAGGTTTTCAAGTTCATGGGAGAACATTTCAATAGAATATAAACTGTAATCTATCTTTCATTAGAATTCTTGTCATTTTCTTATGTTAAATATAAATTTCCCCCCTTTCTGAAATTAATAGAGCTTGTACACAATGCTATTTCAATTTAGTGAGGAATGGGCTGCTTATATAATAAATAGTGATGGCATAATTGCCTATCCAGTTGGAAGAAAATAAACTTATACTTTTTTCACCTTTATTGAAATAGAATTTCATATTGAAATCCAGTTAATGTAAACTCCAGGTGGGTTAAGATGATTGGTGATGTTGAGTGTATTATTTTAGTCCCAGGATTTCTTATGGCACAATTTGCCTCTGGACACACTTGCATCTGAAAAGATTTGGAGGGTGGTAATCTCACAGTGGGCCCATCTCTCCTGCTTTGCTCTCTCAGTGCTGGGCCAGAATCATTTCTGCTTCTTACTAGAGGCTCAGGAGGTCCCCAGAGGTGGTGTGTGCCTGTAGTTCCTGCCACTCAGGGAGGCTGAGGCAGGAGGATCAAGGTTACAGTGAGCTATGAGTATGTCACTGCACTGCAGCCTGGGTGCCAGAGCAAGACCCTGTCTCAAATGAAAAAATAAATCAATAAAATAAAAAATAAAAAGTCTCGGGGATGTCAATTTTCGGTGTCTGTCCAAATAAGGTTTACTTATTTGCTCCCCTAGTGGTTGGCAAAAAAACCTTGCAGTTTTTCCATTGTAGATAATGTCCTCTAGACCCTTGCACGTTCACTTTTTCTATATTTTGGATTCCCGCTTTGTGGGATTACTGGGTCAATGTTTGAAAACTTATAGTATAAATCATTTAGTATAAAAATTTTAGGAAAATATTTTCCAAATTATTTTTCCAAAAGGAAAATAATATTGTTGCCTTCCTATGGTTTTTAAGGACAAATGTTTATTTTTCTCTAATAAAATGTGATATATAATAATAAGATGCAATATATAATAATAAAACAAAATAAATGCATTGTTTTTTTCTCTTTGGGTTTTCTTTCTGTTTTTTTGAGACAGAGCCTCAAGCTGTCACCCTGGGTAGAGTGCTGTGGCGTCACAGCTCACGGCAACCTCCAACTCCTGGGCTTAAGTGAAATTCCTCCAAACCCAAAGCCAGGACAGCTAAGGCTGCAGCTGCCCTGCCCCTGCTTCCTCTAGGGACTGACTCATGTCCTTCAGGGGCAGTTGATGGCACCCACCCCTGAGTTGAGCAACTCTCAACTCTGCCAGCCACACGCTGCCATGTGACCTCAGGCAGATGTTGATTTCCCCATCTGTGTACCCACTTCACTGGCTGAGAGGACCAAAATCAATCCTCCTGAGTCACAGGTGGCCTGGGTACACAGTGAGGTCCCCACCTTGTCCCCCTGTAGTCAGATGGGCACAGTGGCTCTCCCCAGGCCAGGAAGTGGCCTCAGCTCCGCATACCCCCCACCTTTGCTGGAGAACTCAGTTTAGGCCCCAGGAGGCACAGCACAACTGCTGACTCTGTATCACCATGCAAGCTGCTGTGAAAAGATCAAAAATTATCCACCAGTCTCCATGAACGAAAGCCAGAGAGCCCAGTCATAAAGCATGAACTGTCAGAGCTGGCCTGGGTCCTGGCTTTTTGGCTCCTGACTCGCTACCTGACCCCCAGTAAAGCTCCCTCCAGGCTTCAGTGCTCTTCCCTTTAAAATGGGAGAGGATTATAAAACCCTCCACAGACAGAGAAAAGTTCAGTTTCCCTTTTTGGCACTAGGAAATGGACAAGGCCCCAAACCAGATGGAAATGAATGTGTTACACTGGAGGTTCATGCCCCCTTCCCTGGTAGGGGAAGGAACGACTTGTTCTGGCTTTAAGTAAACAAACAAAAGCAAACAACTCTGACTCAGTGGGGTCCATCAGATGGAGGCCCCTACAGAGGCGAAAACATGCAACGGTCAGTTATTCAGGGCCTGGCTTCCAAGGGGTGGGCCCCTGGGCATCCCTCAGGGACGCCTGAGACATGGTGCTGGCCTACAAAAGGTACGCACAGCAGAAAACTGCAGACCTCAGTTTACACAATTTGACAAGTGTTTAATAAAAGGATGGTATTAACTGACCAAGGTGTGGGCAGGGTTGAAGGAAGCCAAGAGGTACCTCTATTAGTCAGGGTTCTCCAGAGACACAAAATCAATAGGAAGTATATGTAGAAAGAACAAGATTTATTTATTTAAGGCAAGTCAGTGTGGCAGAAGGGGCCTGGGTGGGAGGAGCGATCAAAGGAGGCCAAATTCCAAGGGTGGAGCCAGGAGCTTTCAAAGCCCTCATAAGACTGGATAGGCAGGAGAAGGCACACTCAGGGCCACCATGGAGGACAGCTTCACTGGGGGTGATGAGTACCAGAATCACTTCCTGCCCCAGGATTACTTGGCCACCTACTACAACTTCAATGCTGGCCCCTCTCCTGAGTTTGATATGCTCAAGTTCAACCTGGAGTGTCTCCACAAGACCTTTGGTCCCGGTGAGCAGAGATGGCTCTTTTCTGGAGCTTGTCTCTGGGTACCTTGCATGGGAACAGGGGGAAGGTGACCCAGGAATAACCTGGTTTCAGTCAGGGATGCAGTGGGGTGTGTCCCTCTCTTTGGGTACTCTTATGCTGGAGGTGAGGTCTATCTCCTGGTCTCTCCAGAGCTGTGTGCCAGCCCAGGGCTCAGGACACACAGGGGAGGGCACAGCCCTGTGCAGTTCTCACACTACTCTCTTTCAGCCCCAAGGTCTTTGGGATGGGGCAGGGAAGGCTCTCCTGGTCATCAAGTCCAGCTTGCTCTTGTCTGACAGGCCCCTGGGGAAGGCCAAGGGCAAATAGTGAGATTGTGGCAGTTTGGAATCTCCCCACACCTGGAGTATGTAGCCCACTTGGGGCTGCGACCAGGGCCTGGAACAGCCCTGCATGGGGATTAGGAGTGCTGGTGGGTCTCGGTCCCTGAGGGCCTCAACTGAGCCATCTGTACAGTGGATTGTGGCTTCTGCTGCCTCCTGGTGATCACCACCTTGTCCCATGGTGACCCTGCGATTTGGTCATGTCTCCATGGCTTCAGTAACTGTGTCCTTACTTTGGGTACTTGACAAGGGAACAGCGAGGGTGAGCGTCAGTGGCCTAATGGTTAAGAGAAGGGTAAGAGGCTGCTGAGCCTGGTGGAGCAGGGAGGTGGGGCAGGCTGAAATTGGAAAATAGTCTGGCTGCGGGTGGCTGAATGGGGGCTCCATGCACCATGTTGGAAGTCATACTTCATTCTAGCCTCCCAATGACCCTGGACTCACTGCTGGACTGTCTTCCCAGGATGATTCCTTCTCAGCCCCCTGCCTCCCTCCCTGACTCTCAACAGAGAATTCATCCACGCAGGGCTGGAATCCAGGGTGCCTCCCAGCTCACAGTCATCTGGAACTTAAAGGGCCACTGCCAGCAGCACGCTTTCTCTGAGTGCTCCAGCCAGAATCCTCTCCAAAGCAGGGCCTGGAGCTCTGGTCCTCTATCCTGGGGGAACGGTGCTTATGCCCGCCACTAAAAGATACTGGCTTAGTTATTTAGCCTTTCTCAGACTCAGTTTTCTAACCTGTAAAATGAAAATAATTACACTAGTCACTACACAGGATGGTTCTGAGGTATAAATGGAAATTAATGCATATAAAATATTTAGAAAGGGGCTTGGCCTATGGGAGCCACCCATCCATGACAACCGTCATGCTTGCTGCTGCTTCCCCTTTGAGATGACCAGGGTGTGTGTCCTCCTTGCCTCTCTGTTTTGGGTCTCGTTTCTTTTAGCTGCTCTTCACCAGTCTCAGCAATCTCTTGCTCTCCCACAGGCGGCCTCCAAGGGGACACACTGATTGATATCGGCTCAGGTCCTACCATCTACCAAGTCCTTGCTGCTTGTGAGTCCTTCAGAGACATCACTCTGTCTGACTACACTGACCGCAACCGCCAGGAGTTGGAGAAGTGGCTGAGGAAGGAACCAGGGGCCTATGACTGGAGCCCGGCAGTGAAATTCGCCTGTGAGCTAGAAGGGAACAGGTAGGTGTGCAGGGGTGAGGGATGGGGCTTGCTGGGGTCTGAACATCAACACCCCTTCTCAGAGGGCTGTCTGGCCTCTCGCTTGTCTCTGACATTTTCTGACAGTAGGCCCCTCAGCATTGGACTAGATGCCTTGGGATGGGGATAGAGTAGATGCTCCCAAGTTTTAGAACTGCAGCAGTTTTAGGAGGAAGTTTCTGATCATAAGACTAAGATAAAGACAAGTATGACCACTGAAGACCAGATGGTAAGATCCTTCCTTCCATCTATATACCAACCTGTCACTAGGTATCCATCCATCCATCCATTCATCCATCTATCCATCCTTCCTTCCCTCTTGCCCCCATTATCTGTACCTGGTGTGACTAGATGATATGTGAACCTATCACCCAACCTGAGTACTCACAGGCAATAAAGACTTGCCTGTGCGTCTCCCTATCCCCTGCTCCCTGCCTTCCTTACCCGAGGTCATCACTAATATTTATTTCATATTTATCATTCCCTTGCTTTTTAGAAGTAATTTTTATTACCTATTTATGTATGTCTCAATCATCTGTTTTTTAGTTTTAGTCACCTTTGAACTTTAAATAGTAATTCACTCTGTGTTATTGTCCAGGATTTACTTTTCATTATTCAACATTGTCTTTTTAAGATAGCTATATTCATATATTATCTGTAGCAAATTCAATCCATCCATCCAATAATGTCCATGCTTGAGGATCTTTGTCCCTTCTGGGGTTTCCGGGAAGGGGGCTCATATGGAACCAGAGAGAGGTTGTTCTGGTCCTCTCTTCCTGACCACTTTCCTGCTGGAGAAGCTGAGGCTCAGATTGAGGACGTGCCTGCTGTCAGGTCACACAGGGACTCAGATACAGCAATACTTTGGAGACCCAGAGATCACCTCTATCTGCAGGCCATAGTGACTGAGAGTTCCCTTTGGGACCTTGATGTACCTCCCCTGAGCCCTGCCCTCTCTCTGCAGCAGCCGGTGGCAGGAGAAGGAGGAGAAGCTACGGGCTGTGGTGAAGCGGGTGCTCAAGTGCAATGTTCTCCTGGGCAACCCGCTGGCCCCGGCTGTGCTGCCCCCCGCCGACTGCGTGGTGACCCTGCTGGCCATGGAGTGTGCCTGCTGCAGCCTCAGTGTCTACCGCACCGCATTGTGTAACCTTGCCTCACTGCTCAAGCCGGGTGGCCACCTGGTGACCACGGTCACGCTTGGGATCTCGTCCTATATGGTGGGGAAGCGGGAGTTCTCCTCTCTGGTCCTGGAGAAGGAGGAGGTGGAACAGGCTGTCCTGGATGCCGGCTTTGACATCCAGCAGCTCCTGCACAGCTCCCGGAGGTACTCGGCCTTCAACGCTCCCAGTAGCGGGGTCTGCTTCATTGTGGCCTCCAAGAGACCTGGGCCCTGAGCAAGGAGGGCCACCCAGAGGTCTGGCCAGGCCCTGAGGCCTCGGCCATCTGTATACTGCAGAAGGGTTAAGCATGGATAGCGTCTAACAGCATTAGCTTTCAACATTAGCATGCCATCTTCTAAAATTCTGAGAGCCTAAAATTTTTGTTTTAGAATTCTAAGTTTCCCACATATCTTGTCCTAGGAATCTAGGAGTGGAGCATTCTATTTTCCAATATACTAAGCCTTATGGCTACCCTTATATGCTATCTGACTCCTGTGCAACTGCAGAGCACCAGGGCCACGGTTTCAGAGTCTCCCCAGGATGTTAAAGATAAGGAAGCCTTTAGACCAGTAGCAACGAAAATAATTTTGGGGTTGGGGGTCACCACAACATAAGGAACTATATTAAAGGGTCGTGGCATTAGGAAGGTTGAGCACCACTGCTTTAGACAGTGGTGTATTGGGAGATGCTTCACAACCAGTTCTATGAAAGGAGAAGCACTCATTTGTGGTAGTTGCCAATTTCTGTGGCATAAATACTTCTAGAAATCAGGGTTAATTTCATGCTACCAGTGGCTTAATAACCATCTCACAAAACTCCTAAAAATTTTACAGTTGACTCTCATGAACTGATACGAGTCAGTTTGACTATACTATTGCCTCTAGACTAAGGTTGACAGATAAAGCAAATAAAAATACAGGATGTCCAGCAAATTAAATTTTAGATAAACAAAATAAATTCTTTTAGGATAAGTATATCCTCAAAATTGCATGGAACATGGTGTATTTATGCCAAGTAATTATTTGTTGTTTATCTGAAATTCCAGTTTCACTAAGTGTCCAGTATTTCATTTGGCAACCCTACTCCAGACCAAATTATCTAGCCCATGTAAGAAGAGGAGGAGCCTAGGAGTAATTAGGAAAAGGTTCTCCTACAGACGGACAAATAGCAGAAAGATGTCTTCTGGGCTGATCAATTGAGAAAAGTTATTCTGTTGCCCTCTGGAAGCTTGATGAGAAGAAGATGCCCTTTCTGGGCAGAACAATTAGAGAAAAGTGTCCCTTCCTTAAGGCTGACTCGGTCCCACTCCTGAGTACCTATCAGTCTGCCTTTCCCCTCAACCTGTGCCTTTGGGTGGGGGTACACTCAATAGAGCTGGGCCTGGCAGCCCTGGTAAGAGTCAGAAGATCTGGATTCTAGCCTCAGCACTGCCATTAATTTACTGGGTTTCTCTTCTCTGAGCCTCATATTCCCATCTGTGAAGCAGGAGAAATGAGACCTAATCAAACAGTCTACAGGGAATTTCTAGGAACAGGGAATTATTGACGTGAGAGTGCTTTGGAAAAAGAAAGCTTTTGCACAAATTGACCTATGGATGTTATTTTCCCAAATAATTGGGGCCGAAGTGGCCCTTCAAAATTAGCTCGGGCCATTCTGGCTTTTTGTAGTACAGGAAAATAAGGTCCCAAGAGGGTAAATGACTTTCCCAGAGACACACAGCACTTTGGCAACAGAGCTGGAGAACACAGGTGGGTTCTGGTCCAACAGTGTGCTTGTCCATCAGTGTGACCTCCACTTTCTTAGGGATCCCCAGGGCATGGAAGGGCAGGGAGCCCCTCTTCCCCTTGGCTCTCTCCTCACCTGGGCATGTTTCCACACCAGTATCCCTGTGGTCTTTCCTTTCCTTCCCAGCTCACGTACTACTCTGGGGAGCAGATAGAGACCTCGGCTCCTCTCCAAACACGTCTCTCTCAGTAGAGCCTCTGGCCTTGTCTGCAGAGGACATTGTGGACAAGTAGTTTTAGATATGCTCATGGCAGAATGACCAACAGGTAGAGCGAGTGGGGACCCAGCAGATGTGGGGACCTGGAGAATGCATGTCCAGGAACAGGGGAGGAGTAGGGGCCAAAATAAGTCTTGGAGGCAACTTTGAAGACAGACAGATGAAATTTCTGCTGAGGCGGCCTAAAGAGGGGGCTGGCTTCTGCAAGGCGGCAGACACGCCGTGCCCAGGAGAGGAGCATGTGGAGGAAAGGAAGCTGCGAATATGTCCCTGCTCACAATGTCAGGGTCTCTCTTCGAGTTCAGTCTGGCCTAGTAGCAGGCAAGAGACACAGAATCCACACCAGGGGCCTTGCTCAGTGTGAGGAAGGGTCAGCTGCCTGCCTTGGGGTCAGGGGGATGAGGGTGTGAGAGTAACCTGCAGGGGCTTTTCCAACTTTTCAGCTTGTTAAACCGGGCCAGGTTGGACTAAGTGACTGTGCCATGTGCCTGCCATCTGTCCATGTGCAGATAGTGTGTAATGTCCACGTGCTTTAATAAAACATTTTGTTCTGCTCTAACCCATGTGCAGAACCTATAATGTGCTGTTGGGACTACGTGAGGGAGGCTTTAGAGCAAAAAGCCCATTGTGGCTGGAAAAAGGAACCTTCTATTTCACCACAGGGGAGGTGGACTTGTGGGTCATGACTCCTTTTGTGTAGTAATTCACGAAACTGCTGCCTATCTCAAGTGATGGGATAGGTTTCCTGCTGTATCAGGGCTGCAAACAACGTAAAAATCACCCAGTTTTCCCCCTTTAGCTTCTTCTATGATAGTGGGAGGTATTGATTCAGTAACTCAGTGGTAACAGAGTTAGCATCTCTGCCATTAGCTTATTGTTTTCTCGTGGTCTCAAGATGGCTGCTGTAGCTCCAAGCCTCATGCCCAGGTTCAAGTCAGGGAGATGGGGGAAAAGGGACTTCATCAGTGATCCGTGATCTTGTGGGGACAGCAAAAGCCACTCCAGAAGCCTTCTAGCCAATTTCAGTTGTGTCATTCCCCTAAGCCCCAGCTGCAAAGCAGGCTGGGAAAGGAAACATGTCACTTTTCCAGTCTCCCTAGCAGCCCGGGCTGGGGATAAGTAGGTTAGCCAGCAGCCAGCCTCTGGGGCCTTCTTTATTGGGTTAAGCACACCTGGCCCCAGGCTTTGATCCTTCTATCCAAACCTGTTTGGAACAGTTTTGCCTCCTCCCTTCCATTCTCTGTGGCAGCTACAGGAGAGCCATGGACTTGGTAGGAAGAAGGAACCAAGAGACTACTGGGTCAAGATCACAGCCTTTCTGGGAGATGTCTTCCTCTCCACTCTGAGGCAGCACCTTTGTTTCCCAACAGAACACATGCTCCAACTGTGCTATGGCCTGAATGGCCCCATTAGGGTTCAACTGGACATGAGGGGGGCCACCTACACCCACCCTAATTTCTCAGGCCCGTTTCACATGTGCCCTGGAGGGATCTTCTGGGACGTGAATGAGAACATGTTTTTAAAAGTCAGTGACACAATCTCCCCCACCCCTGACTCCAGTACACTCCGACCCTTTGTGATAGCTGCCTCTATGGCACTGGCACGGGAGGACTGGGAGAGGGTGCATTGAACACAGTGTTTGCACATGCCTCCTCCATGGCCCTGGAGGGGAAGGGGCTGCCCAGCTCCCATGGGCCGGCCTAGTGCTGTACACTCACGCCGTCTCACGCTGTATCTGCTCACCAGGCTCATCCTGCATGAATTATATTCTGTGCCAAATCTGTCAGGGGCAGTTCTGATTTGGGCTCTTCCTTACCTTGTCCCTGCCATCCCCCACAGTCACCCACCCCTTCTATCTCTATCTGCATGAATTCTGCAGATTCAGCCCTCCCCCTGCCCTTTTGGGGTGCTGACCTTCTTCAAGTGCCCACCGTGGAGGAGGGGGACAGATAACACACACATACACACAGAACATGTGCTAATAGCCAGCATTCTCACAGCACCTTATTCAACCCCAGAAAGAAAGCAGCCAGGGCTGGCTGCTGGCTAACCCATGCCCTCGCCAGCCCACTTCTCCCCAGCCCATGTCTGCCATAGGGACTAGAAAAGGGACATGTTTCCCTCAGCCTACCTTGCAGCTGGGGGCTGGGGGAATGATGCAACTAAAATCAGCTAGAAGTGCCAGCCACCTTTGAAAATATCTAGTTTTAAAATTGTGGTAAAATACACATACAATTTACCATCTGCACCATATTAAGCATACAGTTCAGTGGCATTAAGTATATTCACATTGTTCTGCACGCAGCACCACTTGGGGTGTTCACTTGTTCTGCACCCAACATCCATCCATAGAACTGCTCCCATCTTGCAGTGCTGAGATTCTTGTTCTCCCCCCTGCCATCCCCAACAACCACCATTCTACTTTTTGTCTTTATGAATTTGACTCTCAGTAGCTCATATAAATGGAATCACACAGAATTTGTCCTTTTGTGACAGGCTTATTTCACATAGCTTAATGTCCCCAAGATTGTCCATGTTGTACCATATGTCAGAATTTCCTTCCTTTTTGGGGTAAAGTAATATTTAAATACACGCCACATTTTGTTTACCCATTCATCCATTAATCAGTCCTAGTCTTCTTTCCACCTTTTGGCTATTGTGAATAATGCTGTTATGAGGGCAGCCACGTTTAAAGCATGTAAAACTCATTTACTTCTCAGAACAGCCCCGTATGGATGGGTATTATTTTGCATCTCCATTTTACAGGTGAGAAACTGAGGCACAGACTTTCTCAAAGACACACAGCTATTAAGAAGCAGAACCTGTCTTATGATCCCAAGTAGCATAGCTCGAGAGTCTAAGGCAAGCGTCCTCAAACTACGGCCCGCGGGCCACATGCAGCCTGCTAAGGACATTTATCAGGCCTACCGGGTGTTTTTGCCGCCGCTGCCTGTCCTGCTTAGCAGCCGACTCATCCCAGGGCCCGCAGTCCGGCCCTCCAATGGTCTGAGGGACAGTGAACTGGCCTCCTGTTTAAAAAGTTTCAGGACCCCTTGTCTAAGAGATTGACCTATACCCCACACTGTCATCTCATAGGGTGGCAGAGAATGGGGTGGGGGGAGTCTGAGAAGGCTTTGTTGGAGGTGTCCTGTGAGCTAGGTCTTAAAAGTGAATAGTTTGCTGGTGGCTGAGGGAGAGAAGGAGGGCTAGCCATTTCTGGCAGGGGAGAAACCTTGTGTCTTGTGGCTAATTATACAGGGTCCCATCTCCACTTCACGGTCATGGCCCCTGCAGTCCTGAAATGACAGGAATAAGAAAATAGAAGATGGGAGGGTAAAATCACGGGCAGTTTTACTATCTATGCGGCACCCCTCAGTCCCTTCCACCTCCGCCAAGTATCTAGGCTAAGCCAGCCTTTGAGAGATGCCTTCAGAAAGGTGTTATAGGCTCAAAAGGATGCGAACTTCCCAATCTCTTCCCAGCTCATGACTGTAACTCCCACATCCTTATGGAGGTGGCGCTTGGGAGTTGGGTGAGCAAGGAAGAGAGATGAAACCCCCATAGCCATTTGCCTATAAGGGTAGTCTACCCCATTCTAGTGCCTTCTCCGCAAGTGTATCCTCAGGTTACCCCGTGCTAATCTAAAAAACCCCAAGTTTATTCTTCTCCATGGTGCACTGAGAAAGTCCAAGGTCAGGAAGCATGCATGGTTGTTCACCACAGAATTTTAACTTGCTTGTCTAGAAAGGAAAGGAACAAAAGTTGGCCACCCTAACCATCTTAGTTCGGGGAGCATAGAGGCCCTGATGAAGTTTCTATGGGCAACTGACCCTCCTTATGGGAAATACTATAAAGACAGTTGCGCACAGGCACAGAAGTCGGGCAGGCCTGGGCCTGTGTGGGGAATTAAGGGCTGCAGGATACGGGTTCTGAGCTCTCACACATGTGGTCGTGTGGGTGTATGGTAAGTATGTGGGGTGTCAGGATTTTAGATCCTAATGAAAGGAACCAGATATGTAGAAACAGGTCATCTGAAACAACAGAATGCCCGTGGTCCAGAGGTTGTTCCTTGTCTTCCTGTGCTCATTACACCCGTTCACTCCTTCATAGTAACAGATTTTTTTTTTTTAAAAGCTGGGCACGTCATTGCCCAAAACAAAGAGCACATTTCCCAGCCTCCTTTGCATCTGGGTGTGGCCGGGTGAGTGAGTCTGGCCAGATGCGGGGCACTCAGACTCTGCTTTTTATCCTTCATTCTTTATTCCATCCTATGACTTGGAACATGGATGCTGGCATCTTGGGCTTGGAGATCAAGGCCACTCATATTGGAGAAACAAAAGAGAAGGAAACTGGGAACACCACAGGAACCCTAGACTTCCAAGTGAGAGACAAATACACATTCCTCTTGTTGAAGCCACTGATGTTGGTACCTTTATTATTATTATTTTGATTGTTATTACCTTGGCACAGAATGCCACAGAATTTGTATTCAGTGTATAAGGAGGTACATGATATTGATTGCTCTGTTGCCAGGATGCTAACTCTGATCACTTGGTTAATGGTGTGTCAGTCAACTTTCTCCACTCAGTGACCATTCTCCCCTCAGTACTCAGAAGTATCTCACAGGATCGTACAAACACTGCGCATCCCCCACCTTTAGCATCCAGTGATAACTCTTGCCTGAATGAATGATTATCATTATTCTAGCTGCCAAACGATGATTTGCTAATTCCATCATTCTTTTTTACATTGATTGGTTGACATTCAAAAGTAAGGAGGGGCTTTCCTTTCTCTTTTATTTATTCCTCTAACCATGGACTTGTGGATTCTTCTTTTATTTAGGGGGCTATAATCTACTACTGCCATTACTTACTTTGATGCTCAAATTTGGCCAGTAGGAGCCTTTCTAAGCTGGGTAGTGTGTTCTTTTGACGTGTTCCCATCATTTCTTGAGCATTTCCTTATTAAGCTACTCTTATTTGTAGTTCTTTTTGGTCTCTCTCAACTGAACTTAGTGCTAACCGGTACCATCAGGCACGGGAGTAAAGGAAAAGAACAAGGGCTTTAGAGCTGCCTTCTTCTGGCAACATCTCTGGCCTAGAGCTTTTCTTGCCAGAGGCATAAAGTGGTCCATGAAACACCCCTACGCCAGAGTTAAATTGAGAAGGCACTGATTATTGCCTGCTCCAAACAGCCTTGTCTCTGTAAAGGACCCAGGCCAAGAAACCTAGGAGAGAAGAAATCTTATGACTATCCTCAAGCCCTGCCTTAAAGCTGAGGGTACATCATGGTCTTTTTAGGGAAACTGAAGCAGAAGGGAAAATCTAGGAGCATCAGCTCAGATGCATGGAGTTCAAACATTCACTCAGCCAACCTGAAGAAAGGTGCCCAAATCAAGCCACCAGAGCAAAGGACTCGGGTTTGTCCAGATCTGTGGACTAAGAAATCAGAAAACAAGGGAAGAGGAAGAGCAAGAGGCAAAATACTGAAAATCGTGAGCTGCAAGAGACCCCCCCGCCAGGGAACACATAAAAAATGATAATACTTGTACAGCAGGTA